AAAACCTTAATATTGTCTTGTTTATCTAAATCTAAATTTTATTTTTACTAGTTATTTAATTACTAGTGGAATACAGAATAAAGTATGGAAACTATAATCAATATCTTTATCGCCTTTAATATGATATTCAAGTAATTCCAGAACTTTTTTAAAAAGTTAGTTATTCCCATAGTATGAATAATAAGCTTGTCATTTCTGCTGAAATTCTTTCAATGGTCTTTTGTTTATATGATTGGTTAGTTTCGCCAGTGTTGCATACTCACCTAGTTTTTCTTTCCAGATCTCTATTGTAGGACAGTCTTCCATTTAATTGCAAATATTCCTCTGGCAGCTGTTAACATATATTTAAGTAGGTCTTGTGAGGTTCTGTCTATGTTGTCTGGTAGGATTCCCAGTAACAGCAATATTGAACAAACAAAGACATACCCTCTTGTAGTTCTTGACAAAGAAATACAAATTTTCCAAGACTTATCCACATCTGTATTGAAGAAAAGAAAAGACTTCAACTTTCTTAGGCAAATATTACAAAAGAAAGGGATAAGATACTGCTGGAGAATCCCATTTGTTTTGGAAGCCTTTTTTATCTACAGGTTAAAGAGTAATTTTGACGATTGAATAGGCCAAGCTTCTAGCAAGAGAAGTAATTGGGAAAGAGATAGAGGAGTTGGAAGAATTGAGAAAAGGAAAAGAAGATTTAAATAAAGAAGACAAACTTGACGAAGCCACAGCTTATTGACAGAAACAGATATTATGACAGTTTTATCAGTTAATGTTAATGGCCTAAATTCGCCATCTAAGCGATTTAAGACTTTAATTGGTTAAAGAAACAAAATTTATCCATAATTTGTATGCAAGAGACTCATGTAAAAAAGGTATATGAGAAATGTTTAAATAACAAGAAATTGGTCAAAGTATATGCAACCTCATCTGCTAAGAAGAAAAATGGTGTTGTGATTTATATAACTGATCGATGTTTAACTGTAATAGAAGAATTATAAGACCTTGAGGGAAGATATTTCTTGTTAAAAATAAGATCTCCAGAAGATAAAATCTTCACGTTGGCTTCAATTTACGCTTCAAATAATGCAAAGGAAAAATTCTATGGAAAATTTTCTCAAACTCTTCTGGACTTTCAAGAGGGAGAAATTTTAATTTCCAGTGACATGAGCAGAGTATTATATCCAAAAAAGGACAGATCTAAAAAGTCTGCAGGAGGAAAACTTCCCAAGAGCGTTTTTACTTATATGCAAATGTTGAAATTAGAAGATTTATGGAGAATTCTCAATCCTCACTCTAGAGACTACACCTTCTTTTCAGATAGACACCAGACATATTCAAGAATTTATATGTGCTGGACATCTAAGACGAGATCCATTGAAATCCAGCCAAAAACAATTACTGATCATAATCCATTAGTGGTTTCATGGCATAGAGAAATGCCTATAAGAAGAAGATGGAGAATGAATAGTAATCTCTTGCTGCAGGAAGATATTTTGAAAACTTGTGATCAGGACATAGAAGAATTTTTTTAACTCTAAAAGTTTTTCAAAGTAAGGTGTGTCTCATCTTATTACGGATCACAGGTCAAACTGGAAACAATCCAATCTAAATTTTTGAGATTTCTTTTTGGTGTTCCCCAGTAGGTACCCAATGCCTTGCTCAGATTGGAGGCAGGCCTGGTAACACTAGAATCGCAGGACTGACTGCAAGCTATATGTATCAGGTTAAAGCTAAATCTCTCACCCCCTAGATTAACTTCCTTAATATTTTTAGATAGCTTTCATTCAGAGTGGGTGAGAGCAATTGAGGACAAACTGCACCTCTTGAGTTTTTCCTGTGCAGCTGTTTTGCACCTTGGTTTTCAAGGAGCTGAAGCTATCATTAAACAAAGGTTATGGGACATCACCCTACAAATGAAGAGATCACGAACCTACTCTGTACCAGCTGTGGGTAACTGCAATCAAAATTTTGTTCCATCTAACTATCTCTTTATGCTGCAATTCCCCAAATATTGCAGAGCTTTCACTCTGGCTTGACTTAATGTTCTTCCATCTGCCCTTCTAGAAGGAAGGTCCTGTATGCAAAATACATCTGCCCATGCCAATTGGATATGGTAGAAACAGTTGAGCACATCCTCTTTTATTGTCGGTTTTACCAGAACATTCAGGATATATGTATTAACCCAGTTATGTCCAATTATCCAATTTTATATTTCGTTTCTTCTTGGTGATCAATGCAGTGAACTTATTTTTAAAGTAGCCAGATTTTGTGCCTTGGCATGTTCAATTAGATTGAAGAAAATGGTATCATTTTAACACATTTTATTGAACCAATGTATTTTACATGGTATATTCAAGATATGTGTCTAAAGGGTATGTTTCCTGAAGAGTCGATTTCTGATCTTGGATTGTAATAAACTGACAAACTAACAACTGAATTGTCTTGGCAAAGAAAAAAAACAATGCAAATGATACTAATATGTTTCAGAAGTCATGTCTTTGGGGTTTTCTATTTTTTCAGACCATGTCTTTAGATCTGTTGTATTCTCCTGAACTTTCTCATCTGAAAGAGGCATGTTTAGATTAGCCCTCCTCTAATATGGCTTCATTAGCCAAAGAAGAATATATTTAAGATGAGCCCTGTGTCTTTTGAGTAACTGTATTTTTTAGGCTTTAGTTTTACAGCTGCTTTTTCTACCATTTTATTCTTTCCATTTACTGTGTCTATGTAATCTGGTACAGTTTTGCTCAAGAAACCAGCATATAATTCCAACTATCATTTTATCATGGTTTATAGAATTCTCACCTTTACTATAAATTTAACTAATATGGAATTTGTATACATCTGAAACTCTGTTGATAATTTCTTGTTTCTTAGGCCAACAATGATCTCATAGGAATTAACTTTTTAAAAAAATTCAGAAGTTACAATGTTCATGCACTACAATGATGGACACTTCTGCAATTTTACTCTTGTTCTTGGCAAACCTGTATAATTGGTCTTTGAAGTCACTTTCTCTTTGTATAGCCCAAATCCCCACTTTGTTCAATAGGACTTACTTCTGAGTAAACATGTATAGGCCTTAGAATCTTTCTTCTGCAGTGAGAGGTAGAGAACATAAAATAACACTTAAAACCTACCCCAGTGCTGAGATGTGCGCACATCTGTTATTCCTGTATTTTCTGCATTAGATCAGAGGCTATCTTAAATCTCTTGATCCAATAAGGTCAGTTGCCAGAAATTTGAAGATCAGACTTCTATAACTGAGCTACTTATGTGATGTAATCGATACCTTTACCAGACCACATCTTTCAACTCTTAGTTGCATTTGCTGGCAATTCAGGGATCTCTTCCTTTTATACTGCATTATTTGGGAGCTCCTGTGGGTTTTATGCAGGCTGAGGACTTGACTGCTGTTTCTCTGTTTAGCATTTACTCTCTCTGTTCTCTGTTTCGTGCTTTTAAATAGTCTTAATTCATATTCTACTACTGTAGCCTGAGGTTTCTTTAAGTTTATTTATTTATTTATTATGTTTGATTTCTAGCCTGTCCTTCCCCTGCACAGCAGGCTCAGGGTGGGTTACAACATACTTAAAAACATACAAGGATTTTAAGTTAAATCATAAGTCATAAAAACAATTACAACAATCTTACTGTATAAAATCTACAAGAGGTGCCAGCTAAACAATTTAATGAGGTGAATGGAATTTCAGATCCTATGTAGCTGTAGATTGAAGCAGAACAAGGGAAGTGGGTGGGTAAGATGCAGCTATGATGGATTTTTTTAAAAAATAATTTTATTAGTTTATATAAAGAAAAGGGGGAAGGGGGAAAGAGGGAAGGAAAGAAAAGTATAGAAATATACAAAATTCCAATTTAGTATTCTGCATGCATATCTTATCATTACAATTTCACAACTATTTTATCTATCCTTGTTATTATTCTTCACTTAACTTTGTTTTCTCAGAACTTGAGTTTTAACCAGTCCTATGTCAGGGCTATTTTAGGGCAGGAACGCACAGGAACGGAGTTCCGGCTGGCTTCAGAGTTGGCCACGCCCACTACAGCCAAAACCTCTGCATGCGTAGCTACAGAGGGAAGGCCTGGAGAGCGCCCCCCCCCGGCGACTCTGAGGCAGGTGGGCAGGGGGGCTGGAAGGATTGGGGAAGGATTGGGCAAGCCAAGGGAAGGCATGGGGGTGTGGCCTAATATGTTTTCAGCTGTGCTGTCAGGGTGTGTGTCCTAATATGCTAATGAGTTTCTGCTGTTGGGTGTGGCCTATTATGCTAATGAGTTCCTGCTGGGCTTTTTCTACAAAAAAAGCCCTGCCTATGATGGATTATTAACACTGCGAAGCAGAGCTGAGCAGAGCAGTGTTCCTCTTCTAAGTGGAGAATTCAGCCAATCCTGACACTATATCAGCGCCATTTCAATTCTGAAACCAGCAGCCATATCATAGTGGAAATAAGAACTGTCATTCCTTTGTTTAGCCTCTCCTCACCACTTCTTGGATCTCTTTGAGAATCAGGATGAACCAAACTCTGATAATTCCACAGCATGAGCCCTGTACACATTACATGATTTCAATAAGCATAGCAGGGGTGAGAAGTGGGCACAACCATGTTGGCTCTGTCCCCTGTCTATGATTGCCAACTCTAAACTGGTCCTTTTAATATCAGTTTGATCTGCAACAAATACCTCCATGCCATGAAAACATCAACTGCCCATTTATAAACCTTCAGCGTCTATTAAAGGAACAGGACATCATTCTACTGGCCAGTTCACAACCTTACCCCTGCCTATTGATGATTAGTTGCTCATGAGCATAGAACTTGGGACCTTCTGTATGCAAAGCAGATGCTCTTCCACTGAGCCACAACCCTTCCCCCTGTCTACCTTAACAAATCTTATTTTTAACCCTTTCCCTTTCCATAAATATTATTTATGTATATGGAAAATTATACACAGGAAATCAAATTTGCTTTGCTGTATGCTTCCAGATAAGGAGAAAGGTGGGGCAGCATTTGCAACACATCTGAGGATCACCCTGGTCCACTTAGCAGCACTATTGCCCTGGTCACCTGGTGAGGAGCCTGTAAGTTGACCCAGGTTTTGAGTGCCTTCTCTTGAGATTTGTGCCCAGTGCCAAAATCAAGTTATTCTTTTGCTTTTCAATGTTGTTTACATACATATTAATTTTTGCTTAGGAAATTGATGGGAAGTCTTTACTGTTGATGACGAGGAATGATGTGCTGACTGGACTTTCATTAAAACTGGGACCCGCACTGAAGATCTATGAATTTCACGTAAAGCCTCTACAGACACAGCATCTCAAGAACAGCTCTCTATAGCCGATGGTCCGATTGCGGCTTCATTGTGTCTCCAAGCAACTTGGTTTCATGCTAACGAAACTTTGTAAAAAGAAGATATGTGTGTATAAAGAATTTAAACCAAATGGCTCTGATATATAGATATATATTTGTATATATCCTATTGGATAACTTTAGCAATATGCCATGTGGTTATTGTTAAACTAATGGAGGGAGGAGAATCTCTCACTGTTGAGGTACTTTGCCATCTAAATATTATTTTTCATCTACTCTTTTGAGATGGAAGGAATATGTTTTAAAAACTTTAATGAAAATGAGACAAAAATAGACCTTTTAGTGCTGTATAAAACATGAGGACAGCATCCACTGTGAAGTTCTCCTGCACAGACTTTCTTGGAAATAACTGAGAACTGGACAAGACTGCATTGGTAATCTAGTGGAACTCCCACTCTTTCATGGAACGTATGCCAGAGAATTTTCCAATGGATTGTACCAGTGAAATCCTAACCAGAGTTACACCCTTCTAAGTCTATTGACTTAAATTGATTTAGAAGTGTGTAACTCTGCTCAGGGTTGCACTATCGTTTGCTGAGAGGAGGATAGATCAGCAAAAGTTGGTCCTGGTTTTGGAACTTTTACTGGAAGTCTCAAATCCTTTGTAACATTAGCAAGTGTTTCTGAATTTGCCAAAATCACCCCCCTTTTTAGAGGGCTTCTATTTTTGACCTTAAGGTTTGTTCACTGTATATTGTAATGTGAATACAAATAACCCGAAACCTTTGAGAGCAGGGAAGGCTGCTCAGAGGTGGAACTGGGACGTGTAAATTCCCACTGTTGTTTCTAGTTTGTGTTAATGTTCTTCAGATTTTAAAGGTAGAATTTTTAAAGGTTTGTGTTGCTTTGTAAGACAAAGTTTGTTTTATTCGTGTTCTAATTTATGACTTATTTAAGTGCAGGTTTGCTGGGGAAATTTTTAACAAATGCAAATCTATGCATATTTTAAATAGTGTTACATGGTACTGTGACAAACTTCTTTCGTTAAGAAAAAGCTGTTTTATGACTGTGGATCTCTGTTTAAGGTTCCTCCAGTTAACTAGAAATTTGTTAGATCAACAAAACTGTTTCTTGTGTTTTGATTCAGTTTAGTTACGAGTTTTCTTTAGAAAATTTGATTCTCTGTGGTATAGCTGAAGGCCTTTCTCCATTTAGTCCAATATTAAAGACACGAGAAACACCTTGACAGGATGACCAGCTTTGTTCTAGCAAGACTCCTATCTCTTTAAGAACTATATGACTGGAAGTGAAGATTTTTCTTTCAGTCTGTCTGCAGGCCAGGAGAAGTTTGCATGTTGGAGAATCATCCTTTAGGCTGTCTGTTGTTCTGGCTGTTTTTAAAAACACAGGAGCTTTTCCACAATAAAGGTGACAACCCTACCTTTTGATAACATCGTACAGATTTCCCAACCGATTTGACCAGTGGAATGTTGAGGCTCTTCAAAGCATTAGCATTCAATTTATCTGTAACAATGGACTGAAATGAGCAATGAACAATCTGCTGGTGTTAACTAATGTGTTTTGCTGTTGCTCACTGGTGAGCAAGATTAGAAACGGCTGGTGCCATTTTTGAGCCAACATGCACAGTCATTTTCTTAATACATTGAAATAAAAACATTCACTTTATCCGTGGTATATGGCGTGTGGCACAGGTTTTGTGAATTGATGTAAAGGTTTTGAAATGTGGGTTGAAAAACTTTGCAAACATCACAGCATTCACAAAAGGGATTAATTGTGTAAAATTTACAGGAAAAGTGCAATACTTTAATACCCAATACAGCAAGGGAGATCCAGCAAGGTCAGCAGCCTTCCATTTGTGTTGCCCCTGCAGAGACACATGGCTAGATTTGTGTCCCAAGCAACATCAGAGCCCTATTGCATTGTCCAGATGCATAATTTTTGGTGTACAGGGATGTCTTACATTTGAAGCCACTGGTGAATGTGTGTATTTTTTTAGCTGCAATAACAGCTGCATCAGGGCCAAAGTTAATAAAGCTCCTTGCCTCTAAATGCAATGACCTGGGATTGGGGATAGCCATTGATTTCAGTGGGACATTGTTACACCAGAGACGGATCTAGTTCAGTCAACACATTTCTCACAATGAAGTTTAACCCTGGTGTGATTTTTAACATTAAAAAGAGACTATGCTAACCAAGTTTCACATTTAACCCTCTTTAAAAGTCTCAATTTTATATTTATACAACCGGAGGAGTCACAAGACTTGTGGGGGGCATCTCATGTTCCCTTCCCCTGCTATTTCTTCTCTCCCTCTCTGAAAGCCCCCATAGCTTCTCCCCTTTCTTGTTTCTCTCCTTCCCAACTACCAGCCAACCTACCTTAACCTGCGTCGAAGTCTTCAGCTTTCTTTCCTTCCTTCCCCTGGCAGCCTCTTCCTGGGAAAATAATGGCCCAGTTGCATGGTGCCAGCCACCCGGCAGGACTCAGTTGCACAGTGTTAGCTGCCCGGCCAGGCCTGTTGCACAGTGGGGAACCCATATGGACTTGCAGGGGACCTCATTTTCACTTGTACCCTTTTCCCACACTATTTCCTCTTTCATCCTGGCAAATCCCATGTCCTCATATTTCCCTGATTCTTTCTTTCTTTCCTTCTCACCCACCAACCAACTTACCTTTCATCTGCCCTCCATCTTCAGCTGTATTTATTATTTACCTCATTTATACGCTGCATTTCTTCCCAAGGGGAACCAAAAGTAGCTTACATCATTCTCCTCTCCTCCATCTTATTTTCATAACAGCCTGTGAGGCAAGTTAGGCTGAGAATGTTAAGTAGCTCACGGTTACCCAGCGAGCTTCCGCAGCAGAGCAGAAATTCAAACTTGTGTCTCCCAGATCTTAATCTGAAACTCCAACCAGTAGACTATATTGACTTTTATGAAGTGGCTGCTTTTAAATGGTACCAAAAGCTTGTTCAGAGTGAGTCATACAAGTAACATGGTAGCAAGTCATCCAGTGGTTGCTGGCAACCCTGGCCCTGATAAGTCCTTCCTCAAAGGTAAAAACCCTGGAAAGGACCCTGTCCCCTCCCATGCCTATTACTGACAGAGTCCAAGGCTTGAAGGCTGGCAATACTGTTGTGGTTGTCTAGCTATGAATGCTGAGAACATTAATTTCTTAAAACCATAGGTACTACTTCTGTTATGTGGGGGAGTTACCCACCAGTGTTTTGGGTTTGGTTTTTTTGTGTGTGTGTGTGTGTGTTTAGATTTCAGATTTTTCTGCAAACCTGGGGCTTTTCTCAAGTTTGCAGAAAGATTTGTCTATTCATAAAGATTTACTTATCCACAGATTTGGCTATGTTGAGAATTAGATATATTGACAAACAAGAACCTGCTAGATGAATTTTCTTCTCCCCCACATTGGGCCAAGCTGAGCATTGCCCTCTGTTTTGCCTCACCTGGCACAGGGGCAGACCAAGCACTGCCCTCTGCCCTTCCTCACCTCATTCTGGGCCAGGCAACATGCCACCCTCTGCCTCACCTCATCTTGGGCAGGGCTCAGTCGATCAAGGTGCTGCTATCTGCCTTTTCTTGCCTCGCCCTGTGTGGGGCTCAGCTAGTCAGGGCACCACTGTTTGCTGTGCAGATCTTGGCACCATCATCTGCCTTACCTTGCCTCGTGCAGGGCTCAGCCTAGGTGCTGCTATCTGCTTTGCCTTGCATGGGGCTTTTACACGCTGGGTGCCAGTTTCTGCTTTATGTGGGTGCTAGCTGGGCCAGACACCATAAGAATATAAGAGACTCCAATGTTGGATCAGGCCAAAGGCCCATCCAGTCCAACACTCTGTCACACAGTGGCCAAAAATAACAGGTGCCATCAGGAGGCCCACCAGTGGGGCCAGGACATTAGAAGCCCTCCCACTGTTGACCCCCCCCCCAAGCACCAAGAAGACAGAGCATCACTTGCCCCAGAGTCCCTATCTATACCTTGTGGCTAATAGCCACTGATGGACCTCTGCTCCATATGCTTATCTAATTCCCTTTTGAAGCCGTCCATGCTTGTAGCCGCCACCACTTCCTGTGGCAGTGAATTCTATGTGTTAATCCCTCTTTGGGTGAAGAAGTACTTCCTTTTATCCGTTCTAACCTGACCGCTCACCAGTGTCTGCTCACCTCAAGTGGGCTGAATGTGATGCCACCACTTCCCCTATCTCACTTCAAGTGTGGGGCTCCAGCAGGCCAGGTTCGATCTCCCCTGCCTCACCTCAGTCTGGCTGGGTGCCACCTCTCCTACCTTGTGTGGGGCTTGGGTGGGCTGGGCTCAGCTCTTCTGTCATAGGGTGACACAGGTTAAGGGGGAGGCCAACAGCCCACTCAGTGTTGTCCAGGTGCTCTTAATGGTCAATCTTGGTCCTGCCTGGAAGGCTGAGAATGTGTAACTGGCCCAAGGTCACCCAGTAGGTATCCAGGACAGAATGGGAAATTGAGGTCCTAGTCTGAATCTCCATCCACTACACCACAATGATTTTCATGGGATGGCTGCTGCTGAACGTTAGCAAGCAGCAAGATTTAGATGAGTCATACAACTTGTGTGTTATCAAGTCACCTGGTGATTCCTTTGAGGGCTTCGATGAGTCCTCCCTCAAAGGCCAAAACGGCCCTGTCCCCTGCCTTTTGTGGACAGAAACCAAGCCTCTTGTGGTTGCTTAGCAACAGCCACTCTGATTCTTAAAGGTACAAGTGTTGCTTTTATCATTTCAGGTCCCCCCTCATGCTTTTTGTTTTAAAATTTCAGAATTTCCTGTAAACCGGGGCCATTTTTCAGGTTTGTGAAAAGATCTGTCTAGTCTGCTCATGGGTCCAATCTCAAGAGTTAAGTATCCTGAGATTTGGCCAACTTGGCTATTAGAATATGCTTTTTGTTTTAAAATTTCAGAATTTC